TACGTGGAAGCTTCACAATGCTTTCCATGTTCAGCTACTGAAACCCTACAAGGACCCCAACCAACAGTTCCAGGGACGGCAGCTACCGCCACCACCACCTGTTCTTGTGCAGGATGAACCAGAGTACGAGATCGAGCGTGTTCTCACTCATCGGCGCCGCGGCGGCAAGACCCTCGAGTTCCTGATACGCTGGAAGGGATACGACCCCACTGAGGACAGTTGGGTGCCAGAAGCTGATATGGGCAACGCACGCCGTGCTCTCAAGGACTATCTTGTCAAGCAGGGTGTATCTCACGCCACCCAGCTTTGAGGGGGGGACGTGTGAGAGTACGACGGCTTATGCTGGCTTTGCTAGCTTGCCTTTACTTTATTATGCATTATCTAGCTTAGCTTTGCTTGATTTTGCTTGCTTTTGCTAGATTTCCTAGGTTCGTTGCTTTTACTATATTTATTATAGTTATAGGCACCGAACTAGGTTGAGTGCACCGAATTCGGGAAGGGTCTATTCGGGACGCTTCGCGACCCTCGGAACCTTCGCGTAACACCTGGTGAGCCTATATATAGCCTCGCCTTGTACCCAGGTGCATAATTCAATTTACATTCTCTTTTCTGAGCTCGATCCTGAGATCCCCACACGCATGTCCAGGACGAACAGCACGTCGTTGAAGGTGTTGGAATAACCAAAAGGTTGTTATAAGCATTCCCGAAGGCTTCCCACTAACGTGTCAGTTCTTAACAGAACAACGCACAGTTCAGTACCGTAGTAGCTCATATAGAGCACACGGAAGGTTGAGAGTCACCCAAAGGTCAACAGTCGAAGACCGTCAACGGTCGTGACTCTTGACCAACCAGTAACCGCACGACAGTTGATCGCTGCAACATGGTAACTGTCGAGAATAGCAATAGTCGTGGTTACTGTAGTTATGCAATACAGTTAATAAAGGAATGTACCCCTCAAATTACATGGCTAGCTATTTTGCTATTTAATATCTTGTACTCCTATCTTCTAATCATCTTGTTCTCTTTCAACTATTACCAAACAAGGTCACTACAAAGACTTTACTATCTCTCCTAGACTTGGCAGACTTATCCTATTCACTACGATTCCTTGGTTATATCAGCATGGTATGGGAGCTAGAGTGGATTATATGTTCTTCCAAATCTCTGTTCTTATTAGCACAAACTCCATTTAAAATTATTCAACACACTACAAGGTCTGCACCATCATGGCTCCTGAAGGGAAAGCCACTGCAGACTCACCGGGCCCACCACCAGCAACGACTAATGCGCCATCAGCGGTGACCCTCGTCCGCGCCGCTGTCGTAGAGCAACTAGTCGCTCGCATCAACGCTCTTGAAAGTTATCAAGATATGAGCATCAATGGCTCAAGCTACGCAAGAGGAGTTGTTGGACTCCCTCTTTCTGGAGAAGACCGTTGCGTCAACTCCGAGAGGTCTTTCGCCTTTGACAACCATCAAGCTTGAGCTCCTGCACAAGACAGCCGACAACATGCACACTCGGAAACGATTGCTTCCATGCAAACCAAATTCGTTTTGACTTCAAAGCTGAAGACTTCGGTGCAAAGATTTCTACACGTAGAGCTTCGAATTCGAACTCGTCGCGACAACCGCTCAGATCTGGATGTACTACGATGGAAGCTTGCCTTTTCCATCAGAAGGGACTATCCAGAAGAAGCACAAGTACTATCACAAATCCATCCTTGCGTACACTACTCTCCTTTGAAATCTCTCTCCGCAGCTCGGCATGCGCTCCTACAAGACAGAGTGGGCTCCCGCGCTTGCGTCCTGGGAACAATGAGTCGCCTACTCAGTCAGCTGACTTCGGTTAAAATAAAACAAGGGGAGAAAGCGTGACTGTATATTAACCGGTGCCGCATCCCAATGACATGTTCATCTCAATGGTTATCTCCAGCCTCGGACCCGACTGGCGTCAGAGTCAGTCGCTGCTTCACGCTCGAGCAGCTATCTCCGAGTCCACTCTGTGGGCCACACTTCTCTCCGAACAAAAGGAGATCGAAATGTACAATGAGAAGAACATCAAGCGGGAGAAATTAGTCTTCTATGCTGGGGCCTCTCAAGGGGGTAGCGCGGAAAGAAAGGAACATTCTGCAAATACTGCAAGAAACCCGGCCACACTATCGATCAGTGCTAGAAGCGAAAGGCTGCCGACGAGAGGCGCAACTCCTCTAGTCAGCAACCCTCAACACAATCGACACCTCATGTTGCGACCTCCACCGTGTCACCTCCCTCCGTCGCAAGCACCTCACAAACTCCTGCACACATCACGACGAAGGACAAAGGCATGGGGACGATCATGAGCTGCATGGCACGTCGTCGCTGAGACATTCGATACTACGACAACATTGGGTATCTGCCTATTGCGCCCAACAACCCCATTGCACCAACTCCGGACAACGATCCCACCTTACATAGTTGGATCGATCGTCCAACAAACATCCCACCTGATTTCGAGCTACCTCTGCCGACTCTAGAATCACCTCCCAGCATCTCCGCAAACAGGTACTTCGCTCTCTCACGTATACCGGCGACTTCGACCGCGTTATCATGCCGAGAATCGCCAACATCGCGCGCCAGAGTCGCGAGAGCATCAACACCTGGTACCTTGACAGCTGCTGCGGACAACACATAGTGGGATCACCAATGTTCATCAGCAACTCACGACGCATGCGACGACCATGCGAAATCACCATCGCCAACAATAGCAGGGAAAAGGCATACAACATCAGTGAAATTTACCTTGAAGCTGATGATATGAAGTTCATCATCCATATCGGAGATGTACTCGTTGCCCCAGACCTGCAATACACCTGCTCTCCTCGGCACAACTCATGCGGTGCGGAGTCGACATTCGCAGCAACTGCAAAGACAACGCAAGGCGATAGACGATGATGGAGTCTTTGTGTTGCATTTCTCGGCTCAAGGCACCACTGGCGACTCTGACCGCACACTGCTGTTGAAAACAACGCCCTCGGAGCAACTGAAGTGGTCACATCCCACCGAAATGGACCTCGAGTGGCCCGCATCCGATGGCCTTCTGCAGTTGTGCACCGTTCCGACCACCTCGACCTCCAATCATGCTGAAACCGGACCTGCAACAGTGGAAGAAGACAGCGGTACGTCAGCACCTGCTAAAACATACACCGGAGGAAGCGAAGCAGCTGGAATAGGATGGAACACCCCCCGGTCCCACGCTCGGTCTTTGGGGAGAAATCCTGACTCCAGAAGAAGCAGCTGCGGGCGGATGGGGCGCCGTCTCAACGCCAGAAGGAGGAGGCACCACTACGGCGTTGTTCAAGCACCGGAAGAAGGAGGCGCCACTAGAGGCGGCTGGGGAACCTCAATCGGCGAAGGATGGGGCCCACGAAGCTACGACGAAGCTGCGGGACTCCCTCCTACAGAAGTGGTGGCAGTCGACCCATACTGGGAAACTCGTGGAACCAGTTGGGGCGGACCTCCTCTCCCTGACTAGTACGCCCCTGACACACCAAAGCCCACAGTAGAGGAGTTAGAAGAAGAAGTGACTTACGAGCTCTTCGGAGGAGCAGCGGAATTACCTGAACCTACGGAGGAGCCGCCGTCACCAGAACAGGGGCCTAAAAAAATTGAAGTCATTGGTGCCAAATACAACTATTTCGAATCCCGATGAAAGGACTCCGCGTCTCTGACTGGCCCAGGCCACCACCTCCACCATCAACGCATCTGCTCGTCACCGGCGAACAAGTTTATGACGCCGACACAGACGACATCATCGGAATTCCGCGTGCCCTCCTTGAACGAGACTCCGTTCAAGCCTTCGCAGCTGACGCCGATGCCGCCACCGACACGGGACCTGAAAAAGAGCAGAACAATGCATTAGCATGACACAAATATTACCAAAGAACTGTCGGATAATGCGCGGATCCCAAAACCTAGCATCAGCGACTCGAACACCCTTCACACGCTACACTCAAGAACTCACTCAAAGCTGGAGTCTTCGACAATGGCGCGCTACTTCTACCTTGGGAAGGCTTACTCACCGCGGACTCAGCAGACCCGCCGTGGACCGTCTGCCCAACCGGATTGCTCACCCACAAGCCCTTTCCCGACTTACCTCCCGGATACGAATGCTACAAGCCGTTGGACAAAGTCTACAGCGACTTCATGATCCTCAGCCACTTAGGCCTTGACGGCGAACTGTACACGCTCACCTTCATCGGTGCGAGCACACGCTATGTCTGGGCTATTAACACCGACAGTCGCTCTCTTGCCTTCGAGTGCTTCGTGGCGTGGATGAAGCGGGCTGAGCGTCAATCTGGGCTGAAGCTGAAAAGCTACCAGACAGACGGGGCTTTGGAGTTCTTCTCAACAGAGTTCAAGGAGCTCTTCAAACAGAAGGGGATTGAGCACCTGGTCTCCCTACCTTACGCTCACGAACAACAAGGACTAGCAGAAAGGACAAACATGAGCCTCGCTACAAGGATGAGGGCCCTGATAAAGCAGTCAGCCATCCCAACCAGATATTGGCTATTTGCGATGAACCGCGCTGTTCGGCTGCACAACCTGTTGTCCTCCCCAAGCCTCGAGAATGACAATTCTCCCTACAAGGCATGGACGGGTAGAAAAGCGGAGACACATCTGCTTCGGGTGTTCGGCTGCATGGTACAGTACAGACCACACACAGCAAGGACTACGCGACACACGAAGTGACAAAATACAAGGCGCGCTGATCGGGCGCACTGGGGGATCCACCTCGGGATCGAAAAAAAATACAATGCGTGGATCGTGCTGGACTACGCAACACATGAAGTGACAAAATCACGTGACTGCATCTTCTACGAGAAGCTGACTCTGCAACTGTTCAAAGAGCACCAAGAAGATAACAAGGCGCTGGAGAGGGTTTTTGAAGGGCATCGCAACTTCGCCACGTCACACAACGAAGCTGAACTGGCAGAAGATGCAAACGGAGCTAATGTCACACCAATGGACACTGCCCCGAGCATCCCCCTTACAAGCCCGCTCCAGACTCCCACATCCATTCCTGTACACCAATTCGATCCTGACGATATAACTCGCGAAGCTCACAACTACACCAGTGTGGCGCGCCGATTGCCAGATGCAGAGTTACCACAGCCCAACACCTCGCAGGACACCCTCCGCATCGGCAATGAAAGGGACGACAACGTCGTCGAGGTTCCAAGCTTCCACGACTACGATCGCCTCCACTACGAAAAGACCAATGAAACTGGTCTACGTGTCCTCGGGCTCGCTGTAGCTGTTCGCCACGCCTCTCCCAAAGAACCTGCCAAAGTTTGCCAAGCTCCGTCTGGCCCCGACAGTGAGAAATGGAGAGCAGCCATGGCCGCGGAAGTCGCTTTCGCTGAAGAGGCGCGGAATTTAAAAGCTTGAAATTTTGAAGAAAACGACGGCGTCGTTTGCCTCCTTAAGAAATCCATTTATGGGATCAAGCATGCACCTCGCTTGTGAGAGCAGTATCTCCACTCCGTTCTCACGGAGCTCGGATTCGCCCAGCTGCCGCTTAACCTCGGGATGTAGAGAAGGGAGTCGCGTGAAAAGTTCATCCTCCTCGTCGCCTACGTCGACGATCTTCTCTACACCGGCAATGACGCGGAGCTACTTGATCAGTTCGAAGCCGATATCAAGGAGAAGCTCGAAGTGACAATCAATCACAACGTTACGCAGTTTTTGGGTCTCAACATCACTCAGTCCGGCTCCTCCATCCATCTCTCCGCCGTTAAATACATCGAAACTCTCGCAAAGAAGTTCGCCGTCGCACCAATCAACCTCATCACTCCTTACAGCACTCCTCCTCCTAATCATGAACCGGATACCACGCCTCTCTCCATCGACGATCATCGGCTCTATCAACAGCAGCTGGGGTGCCTCTTGTTCGCCGCCGTCACATGTCGACCCGATCTCTCCTACGTCGCAAGCCAGCTCGCACAGTACCTGAAGCGACCTGAAGGGGAGAATCTACTGATTTTATGCCGAGCACTTCAGTACTTCGTCTCTACCCCTGACGTCAAACTTACCTACAAAGCCAATCTCACTGCTACTCTACAACTCCATGGCTACATAGATGCAGACCGCGCGAGAGATGTTGACAACAGACGCTCCTGCACAGGATTTATTTTTTAGCTCCAACCTGCTGGGCTCATCTCCTGGAACTTTCAGAAGCAAGAACTTATCGCCCTTTTGTCAGCTGAATCTGAGCTCATCACCGCCAGCGCAGCTGTTCGCAAAGGACTATACCTAATAGAGCTCCTACAGGAAGCGAAAGTGACGATGAATGGGCACTTCACGTTACTCTGCGTCAATCAGAGCGTGATCAAGATCGCGAACAAACCCGGCTTCGTGAATCGCACGAAACACATCGCACTTCGCTACTTCTTCGTCAAGGACGAAATCGACAAGGGGAGAGTCAAGCTCACGTATTGCCTGACCGGTGATATGGCAAAGAAATTGTCACGTCAACAGTTCCAACACTGCACCGACCTCTGCGGGATCACCAAGAAATCCCACGTGGCTCACCTTCAGGAATGAAGGGGAGTGTTGGAATAATTATTCTCGAAGAATAATTATTACTTGCATTCTCGAAGGCTTCCCACTAACGCGTCGCTTCTTAACAGAACAACGCACAGTATCAATACCGCAATAGCTCATATAGAGCACGCAGAAGGTAGAGAGTCACCCGAAGGTCAACAGTCGAAGAGAGTCACGGTCGTGACTCTTGACCAACCACTAACCGCACGACAGCTGATCGCTGCAACATGTAATTGCCGAGAATAGCAGTAGTTAATAAGAGAATGTACCACTCATAGTACATGGCTAGCTAGTTTGCTATTTAATCCCTTGTACTCCTATCTTCTAATCATCTTGTTCTCTTTCAACTATTACCAAACAAGGTCACTACAAAGACCTTACCGTCTCTCCTAGACTTGGCAGACTTATCCTATTCACTATGATTCTTTGGTTATATCAGCAGAAGGTAATGTGCGTGTTGCTGTCTTGAGCCTGAAGCACGACAATGCCTCGCGCGTTTACCCGAAGCTGATTGTTGTTAGTGACGGTGACGTAGGTGGCAGTGGGGGTGGCGTTGACATTGAAGATATAGAGCAATGATCTTACCATGTGCCAGCCATGCCAGCTGTCCAGATACCAACTGTTATATTGCTCGTTGTTGCTCGTTGTATTTTACGAGTTGCGGTGTGACAATGGTCGACGTGTCAGTCGTAAGAAAATCTTCTTGCTCGTGCCATCCCAGAGGAACTAGTTGTTGATCATGGCGGTGAGGCAGGCTTTCCCGCAGCTGGATTGGTAAGTATCAAAGTTGCTTATCTTCATCTTCGTAGTGGTCGTGTCTATTGGTGAAGGGATTATTGTAGTCCACTTTAGGTTGTATCAACTCACCGGCGGGCTCCTCATCTCCATCAGTGATAGTAGCTCTTGCGCGTCATCGTGTCGCCATGTTGGCGATTACGTTTCTTGTTCCTCCCATCTGAGTCACTTTTCTCTGCTGCTGTTGTTGTTGTGCAAGTGGACGTGGAGCTTGATCTTGAGGCTGAAACCAGGTTTGGTCGTGATCTTGATCGTGCTCTGTTGTTGCACAGTAACTTGAATGCCCCATTCATCGCTATTTACGTCTCCTGCAAGAGCTCCATAAGGTAGACGAAAAGGCGATAGGCTCCTGCTTCTGTGAGTTCTAGGAGATGGTTCTCGAAGGCTCAAGCTTGAAGATGAAGCCTGTGCAGTATCTCCTGTTGTCAATATCCCCAGCATGGTCTTCATCCACGTAGCCGATAAGCCACTTATTCCGCTTTGTAGGTGAGGCTGACGTCAAGTGTAGATACGAATATTGTAGGGCGCGTCACAGGTCCGCCATGTTCTCCCCTTCAGGTCGGCGCAGGTACTGGGCGAGCTGGCTGGCGATGTACGAAAGGTCAGTGCGGCATGTGACGGCGGCGATAGTAGGCACCCGAGCTGCTGTCGATAGGGGCGATGTTTCGGCAAGATATATTAGGGTGGTGTCACTCTCATGATTAGGCGGAGGAATGCGAAAGGGGGTTGTGACGCCGACGAAAGCGGTGTTGAATCTCTTAGCAAGAGTCTCGGCATATTCCGTGACAGAGAGGTGCATCGTGTCGGCCGATTGCCTCACGTTGAGGCCCAGGAATTGGGTGACGTGATTCTTCGTCACTTCGAGCTTCTGCTTTATGCAGTGCTCAAAGCGGTCGAGCAGCTCTACGTTGTTCCGGTGTAGAGCAGGTCATCCACGTAGGTGACAAGCAGGATGAAGCTACTGCGGGACTCAAGGCAGTACATCCCCTGATCGTGTGGAAGCTGCTGGAAGCAGAGCTCGATTAGCATGGTGTGAAGGTATTGCTGCCACAGGCGCGGTGCCTGCTTGATCTCGTAAAAGGATTCATGGAGGAGACAGACCGCAAAGAACAAAGAAGCAAAGAACCCATTGTGCGATGTAATTATCGATGGTGCCATCCACAAGTGTTTTGATTTTGAAAAAAAAAAAAAAAAAAATCATGTGAGATTTTTCCTCTCCTTTACGTGTCGTTATGACACCAACTTCCAGGTACCGCGCCTTTGGAGTGCAACGACTTTTTTTGGCATCGGGTCCATGCAGAGCCTAGCAAACGGTGGTGGGTTCAACCGGCTGCTGGTTACCCCCGATGGCGATGGCTAGGCCGAGAATGCGTAGGCCGGTAAGGTTGGATTCTGCTGCATTGGTAACTTCTACCACACCTTCGTCGTCTCTTGGGATGTTGCGAATGGCATCGCGAGAAGAGTCACGAGCGGGGTCTTCCTCCATGGGTGAGTGCATTTCATAATTATGTTGTGCTGGTACTGCTTCGTGTTGATCAGGCTCGGTTGGGAAGAATGCCGTTGTGTCGAACTCCTCCGTGGGTACAAAAGGTGCATCCCCTTCAGTTAGTTCCTCTGGTTGTTCTCCTGCCACGTTAACCTCGTCCTGATCTTTGGCGTAGTTGTGCTCCTCGTTCTAAACCCTGAACAGCATGCGCCATTGCGAAGGGCCAATATTTGGTTGGCACAGCTGACTGCTTCATGAGAGCTCACATCTTTGTCGCGAGGCTCTTATTGGTTCTCTCTACCAGTACCTGTTGCTCATGAGCATAGGAGAGGAAGATCATTATCTGGATTCCATCCTCTTCTCCAACTGGCCCTTTAGTCGTGAGTACCGAAAAATTGCTGTAAACCTTGTCTAGTGGCTCGTATCTTAGCTCCAGGTATCTTCTCGGCAAACGGAGTGTGACGTAACGCAACTGTCGAGCAGACGGTGAAATTGGGTAAGTTGGTTCTTCTATTTAGTAGCTTTTTATTCGGCAGCAACAATGCATCTTCCGCAAATACTTTGCGTTGATGCAGTTGTTGAGCAGTTCAATTAATAGGTGCCCTAGACGTTTATGCCTGATGTTGGGATCAGCGCGATATCCTCGTGTGCACGCGTACTGCTCCTCCTCTCAAGCCGAAATTCTCTGTGGATTCTTTTCCCACTTCTTCCACAGGTTCTTCCGGTACAAGAACTTGGACTGCTGCTGCGTGGAGTGTTTTGAGTCTCACTCCGTGATATGTTCCGCTGGAGTCGCCGATGGTGGTGGTGTCGATCGTCACGGGAAGCTCTAGTGGTCCATAAGAAGGCGTCGGCACAATTTTCGGGTGGCAATCTTCCGGTTGTGTGTCTTCTCCTTCAAAGTCGGTGTCACCAATCGCTGCTCCCCTTGTTTCAATGCGGAGGTAATCCTTTTCGTTAGTTGTGATAGGAATGAAGTGAGGTCCATATTCTGTCAGCGATTCTTCCTCCTCTTCTTATGGTGCCTCCTGAGTAACCTCTGCTACTTCTTCTTCCATTATTGCAGATCCTGTGGGGATGTTACCCCATCCTCCTTCGGGTTCGATGGCTTCTCCTAGTGATGCGTTGTGAGCGATTCATGCGACGTCAACTGCGTCCCATCCTTCGGTCGTGTTCCAGCCGGTAGGTTGTTTGAACTTTGGGGCATGTTTCTTGTCGAGAACTTTCCGCGATGTTACTGTCCGAGTTGATTTTCCCCTCTTCTTCTATAGCCTATGGTGCCCGCAGGGTTTGTGGTTGAGGCAACGGGTATGGCAAGAGCGCAGAAGGTTCCATCAAGACCCGGGCGCTGATAATCCGTCTCCTCCTGGTGACTCCATGTTCCTGGGAACGACAATTTGATCGTTGTCGCCTGAAGTCTTGGATGGGTCAAAAGCGAGCACGAACACTCCGTTCTCGATCTTCGCCTTTCCGAGAAGGTTCCCCTCGTATATTAAAGTGAAATTCATTTTCAGATGATTGCAGGTCGACGCCGCACTTCATCAGCTGAGCGGCTGACAAGAGGTTAAGCTAGAGCTCAGGCACGACGAGGACATTACTGATGTGGATGCAGTACCCGGTGTTGTTTGGCTCCAGTTGGATCTACCCGTAGATCGTCTAGTTATTGGCGACGGTGATCTCGACCTCGTTGAAGAGTTCTTCACTGTTCAGTATGAAAACACTTGACAAGACCATGTGCTGACTTGCAATTGTCCAGGTACCACTTGTTAACATCTTTCTTGGTCTTGGCAAGTTTTGCGAGTCTCAGAGTCAGATGATGGTCGATATTGTGGTCGTTCTCGTAATCACCCCCCTCGTCGTCATGTGTGATGCGTGCATGTGACGACTCTTGGATCCACTACGGTGTTTGCCAGTAATACTCCATCTGGCCGACCGTCAGCTCGTCGTAGGTGGGGTCATTGTTTACTTCTACTTCGACCAAACCTTCAGGCCTCTCTTAAGGTGGGTCTGCGAACATGTCTTGCCAGCTGCTGAAGAATCGCTAATGTCGGTTGGGTCAGGGAGGTCCGTGGCGCACCATGCAGGTTAACACCTTGTTCTTTCCTAAATCATTTGTGTTTGCAAGGATACGCGCCGGAGCCTGAGAAGTGCTGGCGACAGCGGGCAGAGATACCGTCTGGTTGTGCACTTGAACTCCTGCGGGTTGCTGGTAAGTTGCTCCTCCTTGTTGTCTCTATCCGTGATTGTTGCTGTTGCCGTTCAGCTTCCAGCATTCCTTGATCATGTGTCCTGTCTTCTTGGAGTACTTGTAGAA